CGTTGAGTCGTCCATATATAAAGTCGCACAACCCTTCCTTTTTTGCCTTTGACCACTGCTTCTAATTATTCAACGATTTCGGCACGAGAATTGACATAAAAATGTTTCCCGTCAGTGAAAATTTTAGGATTACGTCAAACATATATTTTTCAATCCAAAACAGGCTGCTTATTTTTTATGTAAAAAGTGTCGGGTTTGCGGTTTGCTTACGGTGTGCTTGTCAGACGTATTAAGGACTTTGGCTTTGCATTAACCGATCCTCCTCCCACAATGAACTAACACAACATGTCCTTCGTCAAATGTTTATTTATTTGGCTTTTTTAATTTTTTTATTAAAGGTCAGCAGCCAAAAAATATATATTTATTACCCAAACCAGAATCTTATGGTGAGCTTAAAAAAGAGGACGTCTACGTATACTTTCCAAGAATTCAGTTGTGTTTATTATGGACTCTTTAGCTCTATTTTTCTCGCTGCCTTTCCGCGGATGATATTTACCTTGGTTGAAGAGCACACAAAACAACTCAGTGTACAAAAGTTATCCTTGTAAGGTTGATTATTCCCGCTGTTTTCTCTTCTGAATGTTATCCGCAAGAATTGTAAGTTGTTTTATACTTCTATTAAAACGAATTCGGAGCGCTACGTCCTACGGATTAGTCTTGTAAGCGTATTTTTATATGCATGCTTAATACTAACCGAGTTATTTTTATTTTATTACAATTATATTAACGGTAAAAAAGTGTGTGGGGTTGTGCAAGTACGTTGGTTCTCCTTTCACTGGTCCTCCGTCCTTTTCCGCTGTTTTAATACCATTTCAAATTAACGGCTTTTTTGCCATCACCTAAATTGCTGCGCTGTACAACACCGTTCAGTGGTTGAAAATGTATCCTTCCAAACCATTCGAACGATAGGAAAGAATATTTTACCACAAATAACAAAGAATCGCAAAATAAAATATTACCGCAATTAACAAAAAAATGCTACACAAAATCTTTCAATTAGAAGCTTTCAAGAATCGTTAAAGCTAATTACAATGAAACTAGTTTTTCTCAGGTGCATTTTATAATGTATAGGTAATCCATCAAACAAAGATTAGACTGCTAGCCCATTTGAATAACCTGGTAACGCTCGAAGGCTGAAGTCTCTACCCTGGCTTACCATCCACTTCATCCGATTGGAAACTGAGCCTCTAGAACAGATACCTGTGCCGTCCTAAGGGTCCTTTATTCCTTCGTGATTGGAAGAGACCTCGGTCAAGGGATAGATTACGTTTCCAAGAAATGTTATCGCGAAAGCTAGTCTTAAGTTAATTGTTTATAAAGCGAACTACAACTATTTCTTTATGGTATTCGAAGAGAGAAGTGTCACCTCGAAGGATAAACCGACGCCAATCGTCAAAAATATTTAAAACTTTCTAAAAAAAAAAAAAAAAAAAAAGAGGATTGGTGCGAAAATTCTGTCATTTAGGATCGACGTGTCCCACGCAGGTTTTTTATTTTAAGAGTACTCCTGGACCCAGACTAACACTTGGCAAAGTTCTCTGGGTAACTCTAACCCGAAGTGACAATCCTTCTCTCAACACTAATGACCTAACCCTGTGCCTGAAACCGCAAGGGCTGTAAGACCATTTAACCTTTTACCTAGCCCGCTCTAAATTCTTTTTTGCTCCAGAAGATGTTCAATCGGCGAAGTCATTAAAAATTAAAATTACGTTCTGTAAAGTTTTAATTGGACGCCTCCGATGTAATCAGTCACCTTGCTAAAGAGCCACGGCTCTATTAATTTATAATTAGGGCAAAGCAGCTACTACCAACCCTGGTATTAATCAACAATTGGACTAGAGAATTTTATTTGATAGAAATATCGATAAATAACTGGACTCTGACAGCTTACTGCAGATTCATCTTATTGAATGCTGGTTCACTAGAATTCAATATGCCGTTTTTTAGTTTTTTTTTAAACAGGTCTTACATATGTCTCTGCATTAAAACAGAAGCAGCAACGTTTTTCTTGAGTATTAAGACAGATAAGCCTTCGTGTTCTCGGCTGAGGTTAAGCTTTCAAATAAATGTTTTATTATTATTATTAGCAAGCAGAAGACAGAACCTCTGATCGAAGTATGTACCTCTCATCTTGACAAATGCTGTATAGATATTTCGCAGTTCCAAGTTTAAGAATTCGAATCTGAATGTTGGTGTTCCCGCCGCGAATGCAAGTGCTTTTTCGACATTTCATGATTAGACGCATTTTAAGAACAAAAAAATCATCATTCTTGTATCATACAATTTATTAGTTGTTTTAGCAGATTTAACAGCTAGTCCCACCTTTGGCTTAATAACTATAGTTGAAGTTTCAACTTTTATCCAAATTGAAACGTTATGTTTGTCGGGCATTGTGGCGTTTTTTGTGCATCAAACCTTACCTTCTGCTATGTGGACTGTACCATTGTAGAATCCGCACCACACAGCTGAAAATATCTTCTACTAAATAATACGTTTATTGAAATAAAAGAAAAGAAGAAACGGGAGGAATTGTGTTAAACGAATGCCTCACTTCACCTCCCGAGTTGCACGCCAAGGAGTAGAAGCAATCAAGTAACTGCAATCGACAATAAAACCTATACATAAAACATCTGCGTCCATCGAGATAGCGATGTTTCACCCTGTACTCACCCCAATATTTCAAGATAAGCAATATTATTCGCGTTCAAGCCATGCTCCCTCATCGCGAGGGTCTCAACCAAATGAATCGCAACAAGTGACAGCGTCGTTCGTTACAGAACCTTCTAAAATCGTCGTCTCTTCCGTCCGTCATTATGTTGAATCTCAGATACAGTGCGTTCGATTTGTTCAGGCGCTGGTTCAGGATTACTTTTCTAATAAGCGGTTTCCCTTGGTGGGAAGGAGAAAGAAACCAGCTCCAAACTAAACCCTCGCACAACGTGACCTCAAGCCGCGATGAGCCGACGTCCTTTCAGACCGTATTGACGCCGTCTAGACGCGATGCTTCGACAGTGCTTTTTTGTTTTAGTTTTGCTGGGCGGCGCAACAATAAAAGGGGCAATTAAGAACCTCTATCATTCTTAGCTGTCTGATGGATGATGCATTGCCCCAATTTGCAGCGAAAAGCCCTTCCTTGTGTGCGCTGTCCCAGAAAAAAAAAAAAGAATATAAAGGAGCTGAAAGACAGTATGGTAGCATCCAAACAAGGTTGCAAGATTAAAAAGGCTTTAGTATTGGTGTTGTTATGACTAAAAGCCAATCTACTACACGTGATGCCGCTCTTTAGTTTGTCGGCTTGCCGATGGAATACTAATGTGAACAATATAAACGCAGGGATCCAGTAAAGTAAACGCATTTTGAGAAAAGTCAGACAAAAGTGGAGGGTCACTGCCGCCTGGCACATGCCCACATGTTTCTTTATTCATTTTTGGGAAGTTAATCAATAAGATGTGAAAAGAAACCGTTTATTATTTATTTGGTTTTTATCCGAATTTTTCTTATTTTGGTTGAGTGGGCTTATTTTGAACATACCTGCGAGATGTCAGTGATTTTCAACTATTAGCCTCGACAGCGAACACAGGCGTCGCGGCGGTCGCCGCGCGCTGATTGGGTGAAGTGTACCGTGACGTCAGGGCGATGATTCCGTTCCGCGATTTCGCATCGGCTCGCCTCCCAGCACCGGTTTGCTGGTTTGGCGTTGTGTGCCGCAAGCTCTTCGAGGAGCTGGACTTCGCTTAGCCGGTGTACAAGACGTTGAGTTAGGCCGATATTGACGTGCTTCCGTACATTTTATAAGCCTGCTTGTTCCTTTTTCCTTTAAAATTGGGTTACAAATCCCGAAAGCTATCGGCGGAAGCGATTCCGCCGATGAACCTCCCCGTCCGTCCACACGACACAACGCAATTTTGCGAGGGATCGGTGAAGCGGTGGCGCAAGTGTTTCAGGTGCTGGAATTCTGTTCCTCGCATGTTCATGATTTAGGACGATATTACATCCCGCTTTGAAGGCATTTGAAGTGGGATTTATATCATGGGCATTTTGGTGGTCGGCAAATTAGCTCGCGACCCCGACTTTGCGCTGCCACTCTGCATGCGCTGGTTCGCATAGGTGTTAAAGGTCCTGTGTCTGATTATCTTGGAAGTGCTTGTGGAACAGGGTTGTTTCACATAAATGTAGCTTCTTCGTGAATTAATTATATAGTTTATACACGTATGAAGGCATATATCTTAGAATATGGGCAATTACTGGAAATTAGTTTGTATGGTAGCAGCAAAGACGACCGAATCGCCCACAGTTGTCTGTATGATATGTATTGAACTGCCCAAAATATGCACAGCAATAGTGCCGTAATTTGGAGTTTTTTATATTTTTTCCTGACATTTTTATTCCAGCTTCGGGTTTTCGGAAAATACATCATTTAGTCTGAATTGTCCTTTCCAATTAAAAGAGACACTGCTGCAGGTCTCCAAAAGCTTCACCAGCCTCCAAACTTTTACAGCTGGACTCTCTGACGACAGAGGAAAACAGGAGTGAAAGCAAGCATCTACCAGTGGTAGATGCAGCACTAGTAGCTGAAAATGTGGAACCTGTGAAGGGCGACAGTCTGCGTGAGAAAAGCTTCTGGTATTTTAGATTCAGGACAATTCGATTTAAGTAAAATCTCAATTTTAGGGCTTAAGGGACTAATAACGAGCTAGACACCTTCGGTTACGTTTGTAATACATCACTTGAGGGTTGATATAAACAAGTCCACAAATACCACCCGTGTTTTCCATTGAAATACTATCCGAATCCAGCAAAGGTCAAATGCGAGCAATGTATATAATAAAGGTTCCTTGTTTTTTGTTTTTTTTTACTTTGCCCCTGCACTTGGGCTGTCTTGCTTTTGATTCTCTCCCCATAACCCAGACTGTATTTATCATGTTGCTCGAGCAGCATGCAGCTTTTCTGCTTCGGCGATCTTGTTTAAAAACGGAGATACAAAAAAATATAGTATACATAACCTGCCAGTTCATTCAGACCGTCAGCAGCATTTATTGTGTGAGATGTAAATCTATAGTGATGCTCCTGCAATTGTGGTCATATTTCTTTATTTTCATACACCAGCTGCGATTAATGCGTTGCTTGCCCTGTCAACCATGCTTAAAATGTTGGTTGAAGTTTCGCCTGTAGCTACAGGCCATACCTCAATAAAGGCACATATATACATTTATACTTTCTACGAAATACACGCCCCCAAAATATTAAATAGAAACGAGCGCGCCGACAGCTAGCGTTGTCACAGCCTCCACAGGGCGAGCGGGGCGAGTCGGGGAAAAATTTTCTCCTCGCCGTGAGGTCACCCCGGTTCGCCGTAAGGGGGCGCCACGCGAACTTCTCGGGGCGAAAAGGTAACGTTGAGAGACGTTGGGAGTATTGTGGTATTTTACTGTATTCCCGCCTTGCCATTACGAGGCTTTTCGTGTCCTGGAAAGAAATCTATATTTTTGTCGGTTTCACTTTTGTCATGGCACATAAGAATACTTGAATATTTATCTCACCTTTTAGCTTCCAGTTTTCACTCCCCAACAAGATTTCAAGGCACACATGCTACATTATTCTATTTTATATGCCCACTCAAAAAAGCCATCTGGATATATTGCTCTACCACTACTTTTTAGGAAATAAAACAAGCAATTTATTCCTCCTACGCATTAATGTTTCGGCATCCGATAATTCAACCCAAATATTTTACCTATAACGGCTAGCCTAAGGTTCGCGTTATAAGGGTATAATTTATAAATTATAGATATTATAAGTGTAATTATGGAAAGGTAAGCAGATTACATGTACGTATTTAACCAAAACTAACAGGTTGCCTCATTTCCTTTTCTTTTTCAGTTCCTGAACATCGTCACTCAAAATGGCAGCCAAGGTCTTCTTGATGCTGGCATTAGCAGCCTCGGGAGTCTGTGGAGTCATAAGGTGTCCCAAAAGTCAGACGCAGCTGTATCCTTGCAAGTGCGCCCATAGCGAGCACTCCGGTCTGCACGTGCTTTGCGAAAACGTCAACCTGGCCATGATGTCAAGGGGTCTGGGAAAAGTGGACCAGCCGATCGCCAATCTTACCATATCCAAAGCGTCGTTCAAGAATTTGTTCGGGGACGTCTTCAAGGGTCTCCAGGTCATAAACCTCACAGTCACTCACGGTTCGCTCAGCAGTGTTGCACTGGACGTCATGGATCACTTCAATGAATCACTAACGTCGCTCAGCTTTGAAAACAACACCTTTGAGGAGATCCCAGTGCAGCTTATCAACAAGTTCAGAAACTTGACGTCGTTGAACCTGGCCCATAACCGGATTGAAGTGATACCGGCAAACGCTTTTGGGGCGTTGAACATACTGCTACAGTTACGTCTTGACCATAACCGTGTGTTCAAAATTCACCCCGCAGCATTCACTGGGCTTAACCGCTTAGACAGGCTAGAGCTGCATCATAATCGCTTAGAGAAATTCGAGAGGAACACATTCAGGGTAGTCCGAAAGGTAAAATACCTTGACTTGTCATATAACAACTTCACGACTCTTCAGAGGACGGATTTTAATCAGCTTACAAATATGTGGTTTCTCAACATTTCAAATAACAAGATCAAGACCTTCCCGCGATCCATGTTCGTAGCTAACGCAATCCTTAGGGTTATCAACATGTCCTACAACGAACTTCCTGAAGTCGATGCGAACACTGTTAAGGGCGTCAGGTTTCTCCGAGATGTCTACTTCAGAGGAAACAACATCAAATCTGTCCACAAGCAAGCCTTTATTTCTGCCAAGCATCTTCGTACACTGGACCTTGCCTACAACCTGCTCGAGGATATCGGATACGAGCAATTTAAAGATTTTCAGTGGTTAGAGAGGCTAGACTTGAGCTACAACAAGATTTCGAAAATTGCGAGCTCGGGATTTCTTAAAATGTATCAGGTTACCATTGACTTGAGTCACAACAACATAAGTTACATCGGTGATATGGCTTTTTCTGAGCTTTCCAACGTAACGCTCTTCGACATGTCGTATAACAACATCAGTGGAATGCCTAAAAATGCCTTCTATTTATCTGATGTCACAACTCTTCTCCTGAACCATAACAATATCACCGATTTAACTCAAATTCCAATAGCTAATATTACAGGAATCAAGGTTTTCAACGTTACCTACAATCACATCAATGAAATCAATCGCAAAGCGTTCACAAAAAAGAGGCTCTACGAACTGCATACACTTGATTTGAGTCACAACAATATCAGTGAAATATCTGGATCCATCTTCGAAAAACTTGCTGGCGTACGAAGCATCAATCTGAGTCACAATGCGCTTCGAAAAATTGGGTATAGCACTTTCGGTTCAATACCAACTCTCTTAGAGCTGGATCTGAGTCATAACAACATCTCAGAGGTGAGTCACAGCGGTCTCTCCGCCCTCGTCAGCGTACGATTTATACAGGTCAATAACAACCGTATAAAACGCATGTTCAACCTTCCAATAGCCCTTAATGAATTGCACCTCGAACATAACAATCTCGAACACTTTGGACCAGGAACCTTTAGATCAATGAATTCAATGCTGCGATTATACTTGGACTATAACAACCTAACACACCTGGAAGGAGGATCGTTTCAAAATTTGTTAACACTCCAGACTTTGTCTCTAGGCCACAACAACATAGAAAATATACCCTGGGAAGCGCTGCAAGACATGTCATCCCTTCAGTACCTCTACTTGCACAACAACAAGATCACAAAACTCCCCAAAAAGGCTTTTGGGCGCCTGCCTGTTGTGTTCGATTTGCGACTGCAACACAACCAAATCAACAACATCAGTGAATACGCTTTCGAAGGCATGCTTCAACTGCTGCGACTCAATCTGAGTTTCAACAACATATCCATCATACCGCCAGAAGCGTTCAAAGGTTTGGTGTCACTTCATTCTCTGGATCTGTCCCACAACAAGCTCAATAAGTTGGAAAATAAAACGCATGGTTTGCTGGATGATCTGCTCTCGCTGGAAACAGTGAATGTGTCACACAACGAGGTCGCCTTCGTCACCGACAAAACCTTTCCCAAGTCCCCGTATATTCCTTACAAACTGAAGCGAGTCAACCTCAGCCACAACTTTCTTTCCGTGCTCACTAACAGCTTTGATGACGGTCTTGGAAAAGTCGAACTCCTAGACCTCAAGCATAACCTAATCAACGAGATATATCCCAACGTCCTCAAGAACTTGAGTAGCCTTCAGTTCTTGGATATGTCACACAATGACCTACGTCACGTTGCCAATGGTGCACTCGTCCTGCCAGAGAATGTTAAATGGGTTGACTTCAGCCGGAACAAAATTTTCTCGGCGGACATGAGAGACCTTCTTGCGTCACAGGATTTGGAGCACCTAGACCTTCGCTTCAACAACGTGTCACGGTTCGAAGAGGAGTTTGTGTCAAGGATCAAGAAAGGTCTGCGGTTGTTTTACGAAGGTAAGCTAGAAATATAGGATTATACATTTTATTGCAGATAACTTTCTTTTCAAAATCTACAAGCGGTAATTGATAACTACTTCCAAATACAATCCCTTCTGAGAGCGGAACTATGACGACGTTAATGTAGTTGAAAATAAAGTTATTGCTCATTGTCATGTGACGAAATGCAATCAAGTCACTACATATAACAGCTGATACTTGTTGTAAACACCTGTGAAAATCAGCATCTGGAGTAAACTTTGGCGACTCGCATGTTAACGTTACTTTTAGGTAACCTGTAATAGAATATTTCTCTCTATCAAATTCAAAATCTATCTGCATAAGCCTTCTGATGGAAAACGGCGTATTATCATAGAACTCGCCAATAAATCTTACAAATAATGCACATTTTTTGTTATTCATAAAAACAATCCAGACACAAGGCACAGCAAATTGTAGCTTCTGATTACGGACATTTGGCGCACAACACGTTTTACCAAGGCTCAAATACATGAAAGCTTAAAAAATCGCCATTTTGTCGTGATTGTCTTTGCACTATCGGAAAAATATTTGGGCAGCTCGATTGCAATATATTAGTAGCTCATTGCGCATGATGTTTATTCTTCAGTATTCAAGTAATTAATTAAGTTAGCGCTCGACGTAAAGCAATCTATGACTAGAGTAATTATCTGAAGCCTAGTATTAGTCATCGTTACATTTAGTTTCCAACATTTTTATTAAAGACGTACATACAAAGCATTGGGGGTAGTTTTATTCTACTCCCATTAAAAGTGAGCGAACCTTATTGTGTTTCTTTTTTTCCCTTCTTTGTCTCCCAGTTTTGAACAGCTTTTTTGGCAACTAATGGGGATTAAAATAGAGGGAGTAAAATTTATAAATAATATATTTAAAGGCGCACTGAAGCACGTTATTTCAAGAGCTAAGTATAAATTTCCTCACAACAAAGGGAGGCTTATTTAAGAACGGAATGTACAAATATGTCTACAGAATTTTACAATTCATTATGGCAAGCATTTAAAAAGGAACACTGCCAAGTGCTCGTTTTTGTTCTGAGTCGGCAAGAACTAAGGGGGCAGGTGCTGTGGTTACGTATCGATGAAACAGAAAACCTGACTACATGAACGCATCGGGCCAAAACAAGGGGCAAGCCTTGTCTATGCTATCGTATTTCTTTTTTTTTATTATTATTGTATTTTTGTTCGGATGTCAAGCGAGATGACAACCTGATACAATCAACAAAGTTACAAAACCCCACCGGACCCCCCGCCCCCCCCCCCCCCCCCCTTCCGCCTCTGTGTGTCAGAGGCTAAATTTGTCAATATTATCCTCATTTGCGGGTTCCAATACTGTTGGTGGTGCTCGCAATTTTACTGAGGTTACTACTGAGGAAGCCGCCGTGTAATCAAGATTTCAATTTCACGTCAAATTATCCCCAAGTGACCTTTACATATACTTCAGTACTTCGTTGGGGCATTCCAACTTCTCTTCATTGGCCTGACCCGCAAATCCCATTGTTTTCTAATAAAGATTTTTAGGGAAACTCTCAAATGTAGAAAAGAAGTGTACGTGAAAATTTGAAGGCAAATAATTGTAAGAACTCTTGTTTTCTTGTTTTTTTCTTTAATTTTTTACTGAAACCCCACCACAATTATTTCTCTCTCTCTCTCTCTCTCTCTCCCTATATATATAATATGTTCGGAAAATATGTATATTTCAAATATCACCGCTCGTTTTCAGGTAACCCGCTCAACTGCGACTGCCACGTCAAGTACCTGCGCCAGTGGCTCAGCCACAGCCCCCAAGCCATCGAGTGGAACGCCGTGCGATGCACCGGTCCCCAGCAACTCCAGAACCGACTCTTCATGGACGTGACACCCGACGCTCTGCACTGCCGCTCCGAAGAAGAGGCCAAGTTGGACGACGAGGACGACGGCGCCCCGGTCGACCTCAAGTTTAGGCTCGTCGACTCGCCGTCGTCCAACAAGATCCGCTTCGCCTGGTACGTGTCCACCCAGGAGGACGTGTCAGGCTTCCGGGCCGTCGTCAGCGACGTACCCACCAGCAGCCTGGCTGCCGAGAAGGACATTCCGTACCGCTCAAGGGAGTACAGCATTGACGGGCTCGATGCGGCCGTCGAGTACAGGCTCTGTCTGATTGCGCTAGACTCGACTGGAGGCACCAGGACATTCACGTCGAGTCAGTGCAGGACGGTCACTCCGGTCGGCAGCGGTGGACATGTGGCATTCGCGGTGCCCCTCGTCGCTCTATCTGCGGGGCTCGTGCTATGGAATTCGTTTTGTTTTTAACTCTGACTTTCAGATTAACCTGGACATTTTGCCATTTAAAAAAAAAAAAAAAGTGTTGTTACAAGTTTTGTGCTCATAAACAAGAATGGGCGTCATACGTCCGTAGCATGCATTTCCGCGCCGCGTGTTGGCCCGGTGTTTTGTCTATCTATGGATGAGTTCATTATGAGAATTATTGTGGAAGATGTAAAGCTAAAAACTATGTTTTTCAGTCATTAGAATTTAACTACACCTAAGACGGTTATATCCGTTATTTCCTTTTAAAATTCTACTAGTTGTATCAGGCACGCAGCCAGGATTTTGCTTCGGGAAAAGGGGGGGGGGGGGGGGGGGGGGCACCCATGACAACATGCTGTAGAGGGGGAGGGGGCAGATGAGGCCCCAGGAAAATTGAAGATTTCTGTGGGAGGGAAGGCCCCCCCCCCCTCTTTTTCCTTGGATACGTGCCTGAGTTGTATTGATAACTTAGCTATTTAGTAAATGCAAATAATTGACTCTCGGGCTCAACCTCCAGTTGTATGGGCGCTAGCTGATAGCAGAAGAATGGTGCTTGACTGTGCACTTAGTTTTGCAAGGATTGTTGCATTATTTTGCAACCCTTCAACTCAGGACTCTGCCGTTGTGGAGCGTGGCGCATTCTCAACATTGCAATATTTAACAATTTTTATGCCGGACACTTGCAAACGTTTCGCATTTGAATAAAAATGAGAAGTAAAACCTGTTCTTTCGTACGATTTCAAAATATCTAAAAGCATTTTGTTTAGTATGATACGGGTGCATAGAAAAAAGGCGGACATATCTAAAGTCCGTTACAACTGAAAAAAAGTAGGGCGAGAGAAAGAAAGGCCGGGGAGGATGAAGCAGCGGAACGCTAAAAAGAGGAGGAGGTTTCCCCCTCTCTTCTCCTGCGTTCCGTCTGCTTCCTTCTCCCCGGGCGTCCTTTATCTCGCCCTACCTTCTTGAGATGCAATGAACTGTAGAATAGCAGTTCACGACCAAATGCAATGCTTTCTTTCAGTATAGAGAAAAACGCCACTCAAAAAGTAGAGCATAAGAGAACGATGTTGAGAAAAACGCCACTCAAAAAGTAGAGCATAAGAGGACGATGTTGTTCTAATATAAAATATGGAACTCTAATATAATGGGTTATTTTAAGTTTCCAAATTTAATGAGGCTTTAGTTTCGAGAATAAACTTGATCTGATCCCGGACCACTCGGTCCACGATTACATATGTTAATGACATCAGTTTCTCTCACTTTCTTGGCTTGTCCCCTTTACTCATCGGTGAAACCCTATGCACGCAATGTAAGAAGCAAGCAACGCTTGGGAAAATGAAGAGAACGAGGGAGCGAGGGGGGGGGGGGGGCAGGGGGAGGAGGGAGGGATGGAAAGGGGGGGGGGGGCTGCGTGGCGAGCGCGTTTACTTTTAGCCAACTTTCAGTAATCCTCGTCGTTTTGTTAGTATATAATACGCACCTGTGTATAAAACGCACCTGTGCCCAGCGTGCCGACTGCCGAACGCCAAGCCAGTCGGTCAAGCAGCTCAACTGTCGTCATCTTCTGCCATTTTAGCTGACCGCTTGCGGCTTCCGAGACGCACACAGCGTCCTTAATTTGAGAGCTCGCAATGCGAATTTTTCTTTTTTTAACTTTATCTTTTGTTGTTGTTGTTGTTGTTATGGAAGTCAAGTTTTTGGAGGTTGACTTGCATTTATGACGCATAATTTGCATTGAGCTGTCATAACAGTTAAAAAAAGACTGATCAGCATCTACGGGAGTTCCTTCAAAGTTTGCCAAAAAGAAAAATATACATATAAGACACACAATTGTATGAAACACACCGCTGCAAACTTTTGAAAAAAAAGAAGTGTGTCTTATACATCAGAAAATACGGTACTTTTATTTTAAAGGCGTAATGCAACGGTTTCAATGTTAAAGGAATCTGCAGTTTGTACTTTTTATACTGATTATCGAGGCACGAATAAAAGAAACAACGCGTCACCTCGCCCCAAAAAACTCTTATTGCGCTGAGTAATCGCAAAGAAAAAGCGCATTATTTTCCGATTTGCAGCCGCGTGCGGCGGTTACCGGAACTACGGTGAAACGTCTTCTGTGGCACAAGGGGAGGTCAACAGCACCTGTCCTCTTCCGCTGCTACACTCGCCGTCATCCCCGTGGCGACCCGTCTTTTGTGTGGATCGCTCGCCGCGATCTTCGATGATGCTAATCTTTCCAAAGTCTGCAATCACGGAGAAAGCGCCAGGGGGCTCTGAAGAGAGAACCCAACGGGAAATCATGTGATCCCCCTGAGTACGCGACCCGAAAGAAGACGTGGGACCTGAGAGACACTTTGACCTTCAATTTGTTTCATTTATTTTTAATAAAAATCGGGCCTCCAGTCAGCGCTGCGATGGTGGTTGGCTAGTGAAGCTGCGGTATCAGCTGCATCAATTGCCCGCTTTACTATAGCAAATGATTCAAGAAAGAAATGTAAATGCACTGTACGAAAACTTTTTTTTATATATGAAAGACTAGTGACGTCCCTCCCCACGTCGCAAGCTGCCGTCGCCGCGGCACCTTGTACAACAGCGACCTTTTCCAGGAAGCGTATGCGATGAGCGCTACGTACTTCGCATTGTTATCAGGAGCGCCACTTGATAACAAGTCCCATCCGAACCAACGTATGTGGTTCGGATGCGAATTTTGTGCTTGTTCTTTATTGAAACGAACGCTGTGCTTTATCTTGTATGCGTGATTCAAAAGAAGGTATGCACTTTCGGTTCATTCGCTGAAGGATTTTTTTCCCCCGTGAGGACGCGGACACGCAGAAGTCCGATCATCGAGCCATATACAGCTTCGTTGTGAAACTAACGCGCAGTAGAAAACAGTTTTTTTTTTATCATCGTTTCATGGGTGACACAAATTAGTTTGCTCAGTTAATTGTACCAAGTTCGAAAATCGCTGCAACGCCCATTTAATCACGGTGCAGGGCGAGCCACTGGCAGGTCACTGTAATTCTGTCATGGCTGCCTAGTAAAATTTCCGCAAAATTCATAGTCACTGACAACATAAGAAACATAGCCGGGCGTGGCCTTTTCCGACCACTCCTCTTGCTTCGGAATTCGTTCTTTGCCTTTCCCAAGGGTTGATACTGCGAGCTGATTGGCTGCAAAACAATTATGAGATGCTCACTACATGCCACGCTTTGCGTTTATGCCCACCTCAGCATGTTTAGAGCCTGCGAGAGAAGCTTTGCCTCCATAACGCGTGTGTTGCCCTTCGTCGTGCTTTGGCTGCGAGTGCTCACGCGACATTGACGGAATGTTGAATGTAGAAAGTTCGTATTTGAAAAGAAGCTTCCACTGCCGTCTTAAGCTCTTATCGACTACAGAGTCACAAAATGTTCCAAGTGTACTTAATGCTTTCCACAGCTTCCAATCGGAATTTCAAAATTGTGCCACTTTCGTTGGGGTGAGTTCCGCCATCTTCTGTACATAACCGGTGAACTATTCTGATATGTGAGAGACGCATTCGTCTTCACCAGTGCTGCTTATAAAACATGCAACTCAGCCGCTGTGATGCCAATCAGTGAAAGGAGAACTCGTGCCTGTTTATTTGGAAGTAGGCACACTCTGCAAGTTATGGCCGTCCCAATTCAATACGGTAGCGAAGCAACCATCAATTAATTTCAATGCCGATACCGTGACGCGCTTCTAGAAGCTTCAACAAACGTTTTTGAGTTCCAGTATTCTCAGGTTAGGCCTTTGTCGGAAACTTTAAGATAAACGCAGGGCGCCAAATATGGCTGTCCACCTAATGCCACAGCTGCTATTATCCTTTCCGTTGCTTCGAAGTCTCTTGTCACATAGGAATATCTGGCGTTCAGACAGCATACAAAAATCGGCCAATGAGCAAGTGATTATGACTCTTCATCTCCACGTCTGGCTGCGCTTTTCACAAAAAATGAAATGTTAATAAAATGCATCCGTTCAGTTACAAATCCTAAATGTTTACCGTATTTAAAATATTATTTTATGGCTTACTTTTTTTTTTTTTGTAGAAAAATCGATTCCGTTGCAACGTAGTTTGGTCACTGCGAGAACACAAACATCACTAACATTTAGCTCACTGTTCTCACTCTTTTTTTTTTTTTTTTTTTAAAGTTGCCCTATGTAGGTTTTCGAGAGCGCCTATATGTGGCTATAACTCACTCTGTGGGCTCTAAGCATCCTAGAAACCCATAAATCATAACGATGAGCGGCCGATTTTTTTATTAAAAAAAGAAATCAAAGATCCAAATTATCTTCGGCGATGGGAGGAGCATTGCGCCGGCAGCCAGGACGGCATGTGACCAATGAAAATGCGACATTTTGTTGAGATTGCAAGCGCTGTTATTATAAAATGTGTTTGCTTTTGTAGATGATAGAAGCAAGTAAAGAGTAGTCGACAATTGTTATTTTTCGTGGAGAGGAAACGTAATAGTAAAATAATCGTTTCGAAAACAGCTAACTATTTTTTATTTCGGGGGTGACGTGTTATGTAGTTAGATTTCGAGCGCTTGACTGCGCGCTCGGCGGGTTGAATCGCAGTCCTGGTTTTATGGGCAACGAGCCGCGCGCATTCGAGATATCACTCCGCGGTTCCACCGGTCGGAGGCGTGAGGATCCTCCGCTTGCTATTGACAGACAGCGGTGCTGGTTTCGAAACATGCTCCTTCCATCGCTTGAAATGAAATCGCTGTGTTGCGATCTTTGATTACTTTTTTAATGGGAAAATCGGGCGCGTCTCGTCAAAATTTAGTGAATTCTATGACGCGTAGAGCCAGCAGAGTGAGTTATCGCCCCATTTAGGCGATTTCTGAAACCTTCTCAGCGCGCATTTAGGGCATTAGAAAAAAAAGAAATATTGCGTGGGTTAATATATCACAGTATATTAATGGGACAATGAAATAATAACCACAGCACAAACAACGAGTGTTGTTTTTGTTACGGTTTCAATC